AAGGTGTTGAGAATTTTCCAACAAAACTTCTAGCGAGGTTTAGGGCTAGCACTGTCGGCTTCACACCAAATTGATAGCATCACAACCCTCCTCACACTCTCAGGAACACTTAGGAAGAAGTTTGAAGAAGAATGGTGAACAAATGGGGATAAAGGAGTATGACTTATATAGGAATGGTGATGGGGAAGAAGCCAAGTTTGCGTTGCTGCTCTCCATCTCCCTGTGCAATCAATCGGCTGAGTGGAGTGAGCAGCGCTGCTCGAAGATTTACACGCCTCCCCTGATTGGGACTAATTTTGGTCCCAGTCGGGGTTCACTTTTTGTTACAACTTTCTCCGAATTGAATTTCGTTTGCACCGTTGCGATCGGACAGTCGAACTCTATTCAACAATATAACTTTTATATTTATTTGTAATACTTTTTGCGATATCAAATTTTTGGGTGTTTGAATTTGACCGAGTCAAAATTGGTTAAGTTGACCTTTATTCAAAAAACGTTCTCACATTAAATTTTATATTACTTATTCTCATGATTTATCTCAATAAATCATTTCAATGTTTATATCATAGACAAATTCTTCATTTATTCTTAATTTGGGTCTGTACTCCAATTCCTAATTAAGATCACATAATAAGTCAACATATTGGATTTATCTCTTTGAGACTTATCCAGATTGTGATATTGGATATCCGAATATCTTTCATTTCGGCCCAAAGCCCAACACCATTTATCTTTAATCAAAACAAATTTTTTTAATTGAATAATTATTCATTAATAATTCTAGGGTATGTTTTGGCATTACATTCCCCCCCAAAGGAATTTCGCCCTTGAAATTCTTCTAAGGCTCAACGTTCAACATTTCGTTGTGATCACACTTAATCATGACTGTGTCATGTTCATTCGGTTAAACAATAATTACGTCCTTATCCACACGGATACGTATTCTCAAACTGTCGATGTTATCAAATTCGTTCTTTCTTCAACAATCTTTGATTAAGCAAGGCATTCAGTGATCCTTCACTATTAACAACCAAGGTTCCTTTGCAGTGTATAGGGTTGTTCCTTCGCAGAGAATATCTTCGGTATGAGATTCAATTCACGTATTCATAAAGTAAGGAATCTTACTAGTTCTTACACCAACATCGCATATAGGTTCGGGATTTTCACTTGAACGATTCAGCTTTATCCTTGTGATGTCATTTCTTCTCTTGTTGTTGCACATACATTCCCTGGTGAAAACAGAGTCTCTTGATCATCATCGATAATAATCGTCATAGATAACACAATCGCATCAACCGTTTTTTAGTTCACAAAGAGAGGTTTAACATAACATTCAACTTAGGGTACTTTCATCATTGTGATCGAGTCACATAATTAACAATGTATAGTTTTCGAAAATTGGTATCATAAAGCACCTTTTGGTTTAGTAGAGGATCGTGGGTTCAGTACTTTGATACAACAATGTATTCAATCTTTTCAAGATTGATGAAGTGGGATGTTTCCAGTGTGTAATTAACACGGCTAGTTTAAGTATTTCAAGGATACCAGTCACAAGATACGAATGTAACATTTACGAATTATCGTCACAAATCGTAGGTTTTCATCCTTTAGTGTTTAACTCTTTGGAAGTTACTCAAGGGGTCGCTGTCTTAAGGCATTAGCCATTTGGACTTTTCATATTAGATTTGAATTTGTTTTATGATAGCGAAACTAACTATTCATAAGTCTCAATATGTCATATCATAAACTGTAGTATCGGCAAACACGTCATCGTCTATAGGTAAATCGATTCCACTTTTCTGTACGCATTTCGGTTGATGATGATAACATTTCCATCAATGGTCAAGTTTTAGAGGATATAAATATATCATGATTGTGGTAAGAGTATCTCACATTCTCATATCATGGAAGAAATTTATCGAATACTTCCTTATACCATAGGTACAATTAGTCTACTTGGTAGTCATTCTCCTGGTGGAAATCCAAAATTCATGGGTATGGCAGTCGAATTAGGAAGGGAATTATTAAGGCAAAGAATTAGACTTACTTATGGAGGAAACAACGCCGACCTTCAAGGAGTTGTGGCTTCAACTGTCTATAACAATGGTGGTATAGTTAGAGGTTTCATACCACGACATATAGCAACACGACAGGTATACAGACCTACATATGGTGTAGAGTACACAGTTTCCAGCACCTACTGTAAGTATTTCGAGATGAATCACGTTGTGGAGGCTTTCGTCGTACTTCTCGTACAAGTTGATACTATCAAAGGTTTGTTCACCTTGATCTCATAGGCGTCTGAAGGGTTGCACAGTAAACCCATTGGTCTCTTGAATATTTATGGTTATTTCAATAACCTAATCAAATTTCTAGATGATGCGGTGAGGCAGAACTTCATGACTTCCAGTCAGAGAAAACTTTTCATGTCTTCTTTCTTTATTGATGAGCTTTTAGATAAACTAGAGTTTGCTAAAGCTTTTCCAGGTCTTGGGGCTAGTTTTAACGATTTTGTAAATCCTAGAAGGTTAGACTTAGAATTGCATCTGTAACATTCTTTATGTAATCCAAGTTGTATTTGTGTTGAATAATATTGTCCATGAACATTATAAGTTAGCCATAAATATTACTCTAAGCTGCATGGACAGTGCAAATCAGAAGAATATTTATTTCTAAAATCAAAATGTACCATGTAAATATTAATCATTTTCTTCATTCTTCAGTAATTCACTGTTGGTGTCATGCTTCACGTCTTGTTTTGTACTATCACCACGTCGCGATCTTTCGAGTCAATAGGGTATAAGGAAGAAACAATGGTTTGTCTTGTTGATACGTTAGCACCACTATATTCATTCAATCGAACTATGCTTTCGATGATAAGCAATTAAGCCACTATTTGCTTCTTAACAAGATGTTAGTTCATTCAACAAAGCTGAGCTGTCTATAGCTTCTAACAAGTATTTTTTTGAATTTGATCGAACAAATCGTCGATACGTAGTAAAAGGTAGCAATTCTTCATCGTCAGTTTGTTCAAGTTTCTTAACAGGGATTTGTTGGTATCCTGACCGTAAGTCAATAATAGAGAATACAATGGATCTTCTTAGTTGATCAAATAAGTCATCGATATGAGGTAAAGGATAAAAATTTAGATTACGGTAGTTTATACATAGTATCATCAATCCTTCTTTATTCACATATGAACAAAACATGTATTCAAAGAGAAAACACTTGATTAGATGATTCTTTGGTAAGAAATCCTTGAGTTTTCAATCTCAACAGAAAGTTTTTCAATATGGAATTTACATAGATATAAGACAGTGTAAATCACAGATCAATACATGCACAATTTTATTGAATAAGGAAACATTTTAATGATGACATTGGAATATTCGTCAACACGACCTTTCACAGCATACACACGTGCATGAGTTTGTTTGTGGATTATTTCCTGATGGTGCAAGTGGGGCTGATGTAGATTGACTTTGAACAAGGGTCATCAGAATTGGTTTTCAAGGGTTCGTAGGATATACCTTTTGGAAATGCCCAGATTTACCACAACCTATACATAATCCTTGTGCAATCCAACATTCTCATGGGTGGTGTCTTATACAAATGTTACACTTCAGATGTTTCCACACCCTCAATATGTGTTGAGTTGTCACAGGCTTTCTTCTTTTCAAGTGTGGGGCACTACAAATTGCAGTCAAAGGTTTCTTTCCCTTAATAACGGGTTGGATACTTGAACTAGCATTGGATTGAACTTCAAAACCTTGGTGAATGTTTTGGTTGTCTGGTTCGTTTCAGACAACAAGAGTGAAATTTGATATTTCAATATGAACATTTGTGTGTACATTGTTTGGCACTTGGTTATCTTGTCCGCGAGCAGTTTTTTGACTGATTCTACAAATAGTAGAAATTCCTTTATTAGGATTCTTTATTTGAGTAGGCGAGTTAATTAATAGACGCCACGAGGGTATACAAAAGTGGCGACGATTGTAAACAATGAAGAGAGATTTGGAAAAACGATAGGGTTTATTAATTCTAAATGCTTGCCTTTTGAGTCAATGGTTGGATCCTGTTGAATCGACACGAGGATCTTCGATATCCACTTCACAGATGTTGTTCAACATAAATCGTTTCTTCAGAGTCATCTCACTTCCGTGCGACGTTGCGATGTAGACCAGTTTCGCTATTCGAAATGTGATGCGTACGTTGATAACGTATCAAAAAGTTATATATATTGTTTATTCTTTCGTCTCTTGCTGAGTACAAAAATTCTACTAGAGTCTACACTCGATATGATTTCAGTACAAATCAAGTATTATCTAATGAGAACTTAATAAAGTCAATATTTATCAAATAAATTGTCATTACCTTTCCTGGAGCAGAGGGATGTGAGAGTCGTGGATGTGATTGACATTTTTTATTTTCATATATGGTCGAAATTTATATATTTATATAATATATATTTTTAAATCCAGGTTTGCAGCCTCTTTAGTACTAAAGTATAAACTTGGTAATTGTAACATTTAAATCATTTCAAACATCTTTATTTATCATAAATACTATTCAATACATAACTGTTAAAATACGAAGTATTTTTTTGGATAACAATGTAAATAGAATGAGAATAGGAATATACAAATAGAACGGGCATACCCGAGCTCAAAATAGGCGAAATGGCAAAACCATAGAGCAAATTGGCTACAACACCAATTCGTCATACAACCACGATAGCACAACCAAAACCACAGCACACAGGCCAAAAAACACATAGACACCAACCAAACATAAACCAAGGTATTGACAAACATCAGCACGCAGGCCCAAGTAACAACGAAGCACACCAAACAAAAAGATCAAGACGGAAAGGAGTACAAAGGCCACAGTCTTCCCATGATAGAGTAGACCATGACTTTGATTTTACAAATCACAACCTCAACCCGTAGAGGTTCATGTTCAAAACAAGTTGCATTACGTTGTTTCCAAAGGTGGAATACCGTACATGCCAAAGCGAGTTTCCTCATCTTCTTCAAAAGCGCACCACCTCTTCGAAAGGTTCTCAGCCATCGGATTGCCCTGTCCAGTGACCCCAACTGTCCCTCTATTCCAAGCCATAACTTAATAGCTGCCCAAACCTGCCTTGAAAAAGAGCATTGAAAAAACAAATGATCCATATCCTCCAGGCCTTGACCACACAGAGTACAGTCCAAGGGTAAACCCAAGAATTCCAAGTTAGCTTTAGTGGGCAACCTCCTTCTAAGTGCAAGCCACATCGTAAAGGAGCACTTTGGGGGAATAGTTGAATGCCAGATAAAGGACATCCAAGGCTTGGGATTAGCCTTAACCCTAAACAAATCATAAACCTTACTCGGAACAAGGTTTCCTCCCATACAAAGAGTTTGCATAGCCACTTCCAAAGAGGGAATATGATCACCAAGCTTTTGGATCAAAAGCCCGCACACATAGGCTAACCTTTTAAAGAAGACACTATGCCTCTTCTTGGGTTGCCACTGCCAAATATCTTCCTGTTTAAGATAAACACAATGGACCCACTTGACCCAAAGAGAATCTTTCTTTGCTGCCAAATTCCAAAAAAGCTTGCATAACATAGCATTATTCCAGTTCCCGGCATCTCTAAGGCCCAGCCCCCCCTCTGTTTTGGGTTTGCAAACATCAGCCCAAGCCACTTTCGCAAATTTACTCCCCCAAAGGAAGTTATGGCATAAAGCTGTTATGCGATCTAGGACGTACTTTTGGACTGGGAAGGCCTGTAGCCAAAAGGACTGCACCCCCTGAATCACAGCCCTAATCAATTACAGTTTCCCAGCATAAGAAAGCTTCAAGGTTGCCCACTTGGAAAGGAAACCGTCCACAGATTTGAACAAGGGGGCATAATCAGCTTCAGAAATCCTTTGGGAGGCCATAGAAAGTCCCAAATATCTAACAGGAAGATGCCCACGAGGGAAAGATGCCAAATCTAAAATATCCTGGCTGATTTCCCTATACTTACCAGCAATGAAGATATTAGACTTAGTTGGATTTAGATTCAAACCTGACACACTGGAGAAATGGCTAAGTGCATCCATAAGAATTTGAACATATTGGAAATCACCCCGAGAAAACAACATAAGATCATCAACAAAAGCCAAGTGTGTAATCCCCAACTCCACACAGTCCTTGTGATAATTAAACACAACCTCTCTAGCTTTAGTATTGAGTACCCTAGACAAATACTCAATACAAAAAAGAAAGAGGGTTGGTGCCATGGGATCCCCTTGTCTCAAACCACGCTTGCTGTTGAAAAAGCCGTGGCAGTTTCCATTAATCATAAGGGATGAGGAGGCAGATGAAACACACTCCATGATAAGGCCAACAAACCTGGTTGAGAAACCCAGACCAACCATGACATCCCGTAGGAAGCTCCAAGAAACTGTATCGTAGGCCTTAGTGATGTCCAATTTGATCATGCAACTAAGGGTAGACCTTTTAATAGCATAATCCCTGATCAGGTGTTGAGCCAGCAGCAAGTTGTCCACAAGTGACCTCCCTTTGACAAAAGCCCCTTGCGCTGGATCAATTAGGGCGGACAGTAAAGGTGTCATACGCCTAGCAAGGATTTTGGTGATAATTTTGTAGAGGACATTTAGGCATGCAATAGGTCTAAAGTCCTTTACAGATGGATTATGGGCAGATTTGGGTAATAAAACAATCATAGCATGATTGATTTGTTTCAGCAGCTTCCCAGAGGTAAAGAATTCTAAAACAGCATCATAAACATCCTTCTCAACAGTAGGCCATTGGCTTTTGAAAAATGCAGCAGTATACCCATCAGGACCAGGTGCCTTATCATTCCCAATATCAAAGACCACCTCCCTCACCTCCTCAAGACTCACGCTGGCAAGCAAAGTACTGTGGGCAGAAATGGGGACAGTAGGTCCAGCAGCCAGATAATTAGTACAAATGGCCTCCACCTGGGTGGTGTTCCCAAACAAATTAGTGTAGAAATCCAGGAAACACTTGACCACCTGTTCATTAGAGGTGGTTTTGGTACCATCCTCTTTAATCAAAAAGGCCACAACAGTCTTCTTCCTATTCTTCTTGACCAAGGAATGAAAATAACTAGTGCACCTGTCAGACTTCAAAAGAAAGTCACACTTGGCTTTCTGTTGGTAAAATTCAAGCTCAGCATCAAGAAGGAAGTTGGCACGCTTCCTTTTGATTTCAGCATCCTCAAGGAGGGTTTGGTTGTTAGGATCTGCCACCACCTCCTTCATCACCAAGTTGTATTCTTCTTTGGCCTCCAAGGCCCTTCTAGAAATAAGGCCAAAAACATGTTTGTTGAGCACACTCAAGGGTGGTTTCAAACGCTTAAGTTTAGAACACAGGGAGAACTGTTTGGAGCCAATTATCCCAGGTTCCCAAGACTGGAGTACTTATTCATGGAAGGTATCATGTTTGAGCCACATGTTAAAGAAACGAAAAGGTTTGCTTCTTATGGCAGTTTGGCTACCACATTGGAAAAGCATAGGGCAATGGTCAGAGAGGAAATTGAAGTCCAAAAAATCACAATTAGGAGCTAGGCCAATGTCATCCCAGCCCTGATTGATGAGCACTCTGTCTAGCTTAGCTAATTTGTTCCCTTTATGCCAAGTGAAGAAATTCCCTCTGGAAGGTGCATCCTCAAGGCAGTTGGAGCTTCTGAAGAGGAGTAGATCATTCATATAGTACGCACCCTGGCTCATACACTTGGTCCTCTCATTAGAAGCCAAGACACAGTTGAAGTCTCCCAAAATGGCCCAAGGTTTGGCCATATTTCCAGCAATTGAAGTAAGCTCAGCCTAGAGTTCTCTCCTCTTAGGGACTGTGTACAGCCCATAAACAAAAGAAAAGCAAAAATCCTTTTGTGATGTGAGGCACTGGGTCTCACAATGGATGTACTGTTCTCCCAACCTCAAAACATTGCAAGTAAAAACGGATGGATTCCACAAAATAACCATACGGCCTCCAGAAATAATATCAAAATTAGAAGACCATTTCCACCCAGGTAGTTTGGCATTCACAAACCCCTCTAACTTGGTTCCTGAAATTTTTGTTTCCAAAATGCAGGCAAAATGGACACCAAGTTCCAACAAATATTTACACAAAAAATTCTGCTTAGAGAACCTGTTTAGTCCTCTAATATTCCAGCACAGAACCTTCATCTGTGAGGGGGGCCAGGCCCCTTACCTCCCTTCTTAAAATCCTGTTTCTTCCCAGCATGAGCACCATCCTGTCCTTTCTTCCTTTTCTTCTCCAATCCTGCCAAAGCTTCCCCAGGTTTCGTAGGGACGTTAGTCAAAACTTCCTTAGGATTAGGTACCTTAGTCAAAACACCAATCCCAGCAGTAAAGGGTATTTCCATCTCTTTGGCAGTGTGTGAAGATGAAGGGATATTTCCCCCTTTAGGTTCTGTGTACCCCCACTACCTTTGTTCTTGGCATTAGGATCACCTTTAGATTGCATTTGAGAAGCCTTGCTGTCCACCAAGTTACTCAATTCTTTCTTCTTCGTTTGTTCCAAAGCTCTGCAGTTGAATGGGCTATGGTTCCATGTCAGGCAGTGGAAGCAATATTTGGGCTCCTCCTCAAATTCCACTGTTTGGACATAGTTTTTCCCCATACATTCCACCTCAAAGCTAGTAACTGGTTCTTTAGAGAAATCCACCTCAACAAGAACCCTGCAGAAACCACTTTTGCCAAGTTGTTTGGTTACCAGGTCAGTATGAAGAGGTTTACCCACTTTGGAAGCCAGCATCCCAATACCCTCCTCTGACCATAATTGCAAAGGAACATTGTGTAACTGAATCCATACTGGCAAGGTGGTGAATTCAGCGAAGTCAAACATGAAGCCATGAGAGGGTATTTTAAGCCTAAACTCTTTGCCATAAGCCTTGCTCCTCTCCATTCCCAGCACTTCATACCTGTCCTTGTCATTTTCAAATTTCAGCACCACCCAACCCTTACAATGGGGTATGATTCTACAGGGAATATTCCAGCTTTTAACAATGGCATCGACAGCTTTAAGGCCAGGGAAACGACCAGTAAAGCAGCCCACAAGACAAAACCCCCAAATATCTTCAACAGGTTTGATAATTGAGTCTGGAATACGCAAGATGCCTTCACCAACATCATATTGCTTCAACATCATACCTTGGTTAGGGTCTCTGTTGCCCTTAAAAAGATCAGCAAAGGGTGACAGGCTTTGCAGTTGCTTTCTCTGGCTGAGGCATAACGTCGAGCTCATGGGGGGTCACTGGAGTATTCGTCTCCAAAGGACCAGCAGTATCCTCAATCTCCTCACAGTGAGGTGATGTCTCAGAAGTGAAGGAATAAGCCTGGTCCTTCTCCTTCTCCTCCAATTCATTAGCAACGTCCGTATCTATGCTTGGTAGCTGCGACGAGTCATCTCCTTTCCCTTTCTTCTTTTTGACCTTCTTCGTACTCTGGGCTTTGCTAGAACCCATAGTGCAAGAACTTCAAGGAAGAGAGTAGAGGTTCATCGGGGAAGAAGGTGAACAGTACCAAACAAAGTCAACGTCCACCGCTCACAGGAGGGAGCAGTAAACAACGATTTCTCCTATGGGTGGATTCGCCCAGAAATGGAGAACAAGAATCTGAGGTCAAAGAGAAGAGAAACCACAAAACAAAGCTCCTACAGCGATGGCAATGGTGACGGGCTACAGTAGCCTTAAGTCGCCAGAGAGAAGTCCCGGCCAAAGCTACCCTTCCAGGTTGGATGTATGAGTTATATGAAGTATTTAATAATGTTGTGGAAGTGAATTTAAAACATGTCACATGACATTCAGAATTAATTATTTAAACCACACATCCATCATGACTGTCTCGCCCACGTATTCCACCAGAAACAATAACTTCATTCATTCTGTCTACCTACGTGTGCCAAATAAAACATACTACACGCTCAGCGGTGAAGCTGAGTAAGCATATCTAAAGCGTCGAACATCCATATAAATTGAATCTCAATTCATAACCAACCATTTGATATCATGCATACAATATATGATTCAAGCATTCATGATATTTTCAATATTATATTCCAAGTCATTTCATGATATATACAATATTCAATATCTCAATATTCATCTTAAATTATTCTTAATCTAAGGCCAATCATTTTATAACAAGCTCTTAGCTATTATTAGTCTAAGGAAATATTTCTAACTAGGCTCTTAAAATATAAATAGTTTAAGGCAGAACACAACAATCGATAATCCACCCTATAAGTCATGTGGATTACGTACCAACCGAACAGTGAACTGTTGGGCCTGTAATATCCGACTAGGATCCCGTACGTACGTTTTAACCCCGAAATATTAATTGGTCAAGGAGGTATATCTTAGAGTTCTTCTAGATATCCTTTAACATCATCAATTTCCAAATGGGTATATCTTAGAGTTTTTCTAGATATCATTAACAATACACTTCATTTTCAAAATCAATATGTCCATTTTTTGTCATGATTCAATCCTTCATAATTATTACTTAAATCAGAATATTAAATCATCATTATCATCAATCAAGGATCATTATCATAAATAATCATAAATAACAAGTAGCGGCATAGCGTCGAGTGTTAACATTGTAGCTTACCATCATGCATCAAACAAGATTCTTGAATTTATCAAAACATCAAATTTATTTCCATAAATTATATTAAAATTAATTATAATTGATTGGTATCAAAAATAAGATTTAACAATTTTAAAATTTGGTTTTTCTGAAATTTCCTCTAGACAAAAGGTACCCCTAACGGTACCTCGGTACCGTGGTACGGTACCTTAGTAACGCCCGAACGGTACAGGGTACCGTTCAGCATCGGGTACCAATAGAGAGAATGGATTTCTGCGGTGGAGACGATAGCTAGACTACCAGTCCCACGGTATGGCCTACCGTCCTAGCGGTACCAAGGTTTGGTACCGCCAGGACAGTATCAGTCTACCGTTTTACGCGTAGTTTTGAACAATGTCATCTTCAACCTCGGACCTATTTTCGGAAATGTCATTTTTAGTCACCAAATTTCAATTAAACTATATAGAAATGTTCCCCAAGATTCATAGATCATTTTGGTATCATTAGTTCATAGTTTTAACATCAAATTCAAGGTTTATGATTCTTAGTTCTTCAAGCGTGTCAAACACAAATTCAACCAAACAACCATTTATGAACGTAGAAATGATGTATATAAATATTCTACTCATTAGATATATCTACGGGCATACCTAGAAGCTTAACGAATGTTTTGAGAATTTTCTGACGAAACTTCTAGCAAGGTTTGTGGCTAGCACCGTCGGCTTCACACCAAATTGATAGCACCACAACACTCCTCACACTCTCAGGAACACTTAGGAAGAAGTTTGAAGAAGAATGGTGAACAAATGGCGATAAAGGAGTATGGCTTATATAGGAATGGTGAACAAATGGTGGATTTTCAATAAGAAAATAGATGTAGACGGGAAGGTTCATACCTTCAAAGCTAGATTTGTAGCAAAAGGTTATACACAAATCCAAGGAATTGACTATGACGAAACCTTTTCTCCAGTTGTGATGCTGAAGTCCATTCGGATAATGCTTGCGATTGCAGCGTTCTACGATTATGAGATTTGGCAGAAGGACGTCAAGACGGCTTTCCTTAGCGGGAACCTCAAAGAGGATGTCTATATGACACAGCCTAACGGTTTTACAATTGCTGGTGAATCTGCCAAAGTCTGTAACCTGCAACGGTCAATCTACGGATTGAAACAAGCATCTCGGAGTTGGTATATACGCTCTTATGAAACCATCACTAGTTTTGGTTTTGAGAAGAATTCTGATGAGTCTTGTGTTTACAAGAAGGTTAGTGGGAGGGTGATTGTAACGCCCCAAAATATACCCTAGAATTATTAATGAATAAATAATCAATTAATCAAATTTGTTTTGATTAAAATAAATTATTATTGGGCTTTGGGCCGATAAAAATATGTTTTGATATCCAATATCTTAATCTGGATAAATCTCATAGAGATAAATCCAATATGTTGAGTATTTGTGTGGTCTTGATTGAGAACATGAGTACAGACCCAAATCAAGAATAAATAAAGAAATTAGTTATGTAGCGAACTTTAAAATGATTTACTGAAATAAATCATGATAATAATTAATATGAATTAAATATGAGAACCTTTTTGAATAAAAGTCAACTAGATCAATTTTGACTCTGTCAAAGTCAACCACCCAAAAATATGGTGTCTGAAAAAGTATACCAAATAAACATAAAAATTATATCGTTGGATAGAGCTCGACTGTCTGATCGCAACGGTGCAAACACATTTCAATTCAGAGAAAGTTGGACCAAAAAGTGTACCCCGACTGGGACTAAAATTAGTCCCAATCAGGGACTTGCGTTTAAAAAACCGTAGAGATCAGCCTCCTCCTCCACTCAGCCGTTCCAACAGGAGAAGGTGACAGGGCTTGCTTTATCCTTCCTTCTCCTTCTATATAAGTGAGACCATTCCTTCTCATTTCTTCACCATTTTTCTTCATTCTTCTTCCTAAGTGTTCATGAAAGTGTGAGGAGTGTTGTGGTGCTGTCAATTTGGTGTGAAGTCGCCGGAGTTAGGAGAAATACTCGCCGGAAGTTTTGCCGGAAAATTTCCAAAACCTCCATTAAGCTTCGAGGTAAGCCCCTAGATATATCTAATGACTAGAATGTTCATATAGGTCGTTTCTACGTTCATAAATCGTCATTTGGTTGAGTTTTGTGTTTGACATACTTGAAGAACTAAGAATCATAAACCATGAAATTGATGTTAAAATTATGAATTAATGATGCTAAAATGATCCATAAACCTTGGAGAACATTTTTATATACTTTAATTGAAGTTTGGTGAGTAAAAGTGACATTTCCGCAAGTTGGCTCGAGGTAGAAGACGATGGATAATCGATTATCAACTTGAAAATCGATTATTCATCGTTCTGCAGATTTTT